GTTGTGTTACCTCAAGAGAAATAGTTTTCTTTGTCAAGAGCCCGTGCACCATTGCCACAAATTATTGGGAGAGTAGATTAAAAACTTGTATCACCCCTAGGCGATCAAGGGGTACAGTAACGAGATTTTATTGGCCATTATGAAGCATATTGTATAGTTGTCTGAAGAGGCGAGTTGTGTACGCTCGACACGGTTTCTCTTCGATCTACCCAGTCGCATAGATCTCTTGGTCTCCAAATAATATTCTTCCAGCTTCTGAGTAGCTTCCCACGCTTCTTTCTTGTTGCAGGTGTCCACAACCACCTCATCTCTTTTGCTACCTCATCTCTTTGACTACCTCATTTCTTTGGCTACCTCGAGCGATTCATGGACTCCGTTAGAGACGCCCATACCAACTCAATTGCTTGGTTTCAGCCGTACCTAAGGCGGATCCTTCCACCTTCATTCTTTGTAGGATTTATTTCGTATGTGATATAATTTTGATACATGGCGTCTCCTCGAAATGTCTTTTTCAAGAGACATCAGCGGGGATCTATCTCTCTTACTTAATTCCCGGGTTTGTTTCGTAAGAACATATGCTCCATCCTATTGCTTTAAAACCAAGTCGTTTATTTTTTGGTGATTTTTGTACTCGAAAGCAGAGAATTTCATTGTCGCATTATTATTTTTCCTTCTCCTATCATTTTATAGATATGCTCTGCACTTCTACCATTTGAGTTACCATAAGAGTTAGTCCGAGGTATCTGTCCAACGTGCATTGTTTGATCTTGTCATTTACTTTGTCTAGACTCCTACATACTTTATCACTTTCTACCATAAATTCCGTCTTTTGAATGTTAACAGTAAGACCGAAGTTACCGTACTCTTCTTGAAACGTTTTTAACGTTATGAACAGGGAAAGGATTTTTATGCCCTAAAATTCTTGAAACAAACTTTCTAAAAATATGCATTAATGAAAAAAATGTCCTAATAATGCATTCTAATACGCAATTAAAATTAACAATATTCATTTCATATATAAAATTTTCTTGATATAATTTCAGAAGAAGCGTACTTGGACTGAAATTAGTCTCTATATTCACAAAATGCGCATATAACTACCCGAATATGCATAAAAAAATGCAGGAAAAATTCTGCCAAATGTGCGCTGACACATTAATGTACATAGTATCCAATTGTAAACAATTGTCAAGAAATATCACTCGGCTTGAAGCAACAGACAAAAATATGCAAAATCATAGAAATCCGCTCCATACATATGAAAACAAAATAAAGGTGTCCGTTCAGATCTCATTCGTGATCGTATTTCTGGCTCGACTCCTCGGGCGCCAAACACATCTGCGTGCGCACCGGAGCTCTTGGCGTCGCGTCGCCCGCAGCCGCCGCCTCGTTACCGCGTTTCCGACAGTGACGGTTGGGCGCGCGGGGTGGAGCGGGGGCGGGGCGGGCGGGCGGGCACGAGCGTTAATGAAAGGTCCCGGCAGCGGGAAATTGCGCGCTGTTACGGGGGCCACGAGCGCGCCGCCGCCGCAACACAAGGGGGGAGGGGCGGGGCGGGAGAAGGGGGGCGGGGGGGGGCGGCGGTGCCTGTCATTAGGCGCGGCGCCGGATCAACCTTTCATGCGGCGGCGGCCGCGCTCAGGTGGCGCGTGCCGAAAGGGACAAAGCGCGGGACGGGTGGCACGCAAGAAGAGGCCGAGGGGAGTGGGCGGGGCAGGGCTGGGGAGTGTGGGGGCAGGGCGAGGGCAGAGCGAGGGCAGGGCCAGGGCAGGGCGAGGGCAGGGCGAGGGCAGGGCGAGGGCAGGGCGAGGGCAGGGCGAGGGCAGGCGAGGGCAGGGCGAGGGCAGGGCGGAGGGCAGGGCGAGGGCAGGGCGGGGCAAGGCGAGGGCAAGGCGAGGCGGGCGGGGGCAGGGCGTGGCAGGGCGTGGGCAGGCGTGGGCAGGGCGTGGGCAGGGCGTGGCAGGGCGTGGGCAGGGCGTGGGCAGGGCGTGGGCAGGGCGTGGGCAGGGCGTGGCAGGGCGTGGCAGGGCGGCAGGGCGAGGGCAGGGCGTGAGCAGGCGTGAGCAGGGCGTGGGCAGGGCGTGGCAGGGCGTGGGCAGGGCGTGGGCAGGGCGTGGCAGGGCGGGCAGGGCGTGGGCAGGGCGTGGGCAGGGCGTGGGCAGGGCGTGGGGCAGGGCGTGGGCAGGGCGTGGGCAGGGGGTCAGGCGGTGGGCAGGGCGTGGGCAGGGGCAGTGGGCAGGGCCGTGGGCAGGGCGTGGGCAGGGCGTGGGCAGGGCGTGGGCAGGCGCGTTGGGCAGGGCGTGGGCAGGGCGGTGGGCAGGGCGTGGCAGGGCGTGGGCAGGGCGTGGGCCAGGGCGTGGGGGCAGGGCGTGGGCAAGGCGAGGGCAAGGCGAGGCAGGGCGAGGGCAGGGCCAGGGCAGGGCGAGGGCAGGGCGTGGGCAGGGGCGGGGTAGGTGTGGGGCGGAGGTGCGGTGGAGGCGGGGGCAAGGATAGGTGGGTCGTGAGGCGGGGTGAGATGGGGGCGGGGCGGATGAGCGCCATACCGCTGAGGGACGAGATCCGGCCGAGGACGGAAATGGCGGTGCGTGTCCAAATAGGTGTGGGTGGCCGTAGCCTGTCGTGTAACGAAGCCAGACAACAAAGCTCGAGATGAGGCGAAAAGGGGATGGAACGACGAGACGCAGGGGGGAGGTGGCAGAGCGACGGGGTTGGAGCTGGTGGTCACAAGGCGACCAAGAAGCAACTGCTCTTCAAGTCAGGCAGAGCTATTCAGGGCGCGAAGGACAGAGTTACGGGAGCAAAGGCGCGAATAGAAGATAGATAGATAGATAGATAGATAGAGAGAGAGAGAGAGAGAGAGAGAGGGAAAAGGAGAGAGAGGGAGAAGGAGAGAGGACGGAGGGAGAGTGGAGGGAGAGAGAGAGTAGGGAGAGGGAGAAACGTAGAGAGGTAATGAATACTTGATGTGGTGGGCAGCGGAGGAGAGCGGGAAGGCAGGGCTGGGGCGAAGTAGGCCGCAGGACACTGAGTGGGAGTGGCGGCGAGGGTGGGGGTGGGTGTTGCGGTTGGGGAGTAATGAGAGAGCGCGATGACGAGGGCGTTGCGTGCGCGGCGCTGCCTTTGAGAGCCTTTTGCCGGTCACTCCGCCCTCGCCCTCGCCCTCGCCCTCGCCCTCGCCCTCGCCCTCGCCCTCGCCCTCGCCCTCGCCCACACCCACGCTCCGCTCACAGCCTGCGACTTCGCAGCGCAGTCTTCTTCATTGTCTTTTATGTATTCCCGTCGCTTGAATTTCAAGGTAGTATGCAAAGCAGAAAAATATCACGATAGAGAAATTGTTTTGATGTAGCATATAAAATTTTGTCTTTTACTAATCATCTTCTCTGTTGTAGAAATCAGCTCTACAAATAATTTATATAAATCGCCAAATAGTGTTGGTCTAAATACCCTATTGCCAGATGTCGCTGAGTTGTCATTCTCATAGCAACTCCAAGTGGAATGAACACGCATTTATATTACTGTAGAGCGTGCGCAATCGTCGATGAACGAAGCGAGATCACGAAATGCGGTGAACGAATTTTCATAGTCGCAACAGGTAACGCTACATTCATTCCATCTAATATGTCCAATAGCCTGTTTCTTTGAGACGGAGACTGTCAAGTTTGAACACGTTCTGAGTTGTGAGTCAGCTTCTAGGGTCGCTAGGGTGAGATGGAGTTTACCGTGTCTGTCGCGCGTCATGGATTTCGAACAACTGATTAACATTGAATATTGTGTCAAGTTTGAAAAAAAAGTGCCGAAAAAGTAATGAAATGTTGAATTTCGAGTAAGACGATAATGTGTTAACTATGTAAGACTATTTACAAGTAGTATGAATGATTTTAAATCGGAAATGAATCCCTTGAAGACGAGAAACGTTTGGAACGTCCTTCGACCTCAAAGACAGATGAAATCGTTCAAAAGTCGCAACCTTCTTTGTTCAAACAAATGGCTCCTCGAGACCTTATCAAACTACTTTATATTTTGCACGGGTCCATGAAAACAAGTTTAAGCGATAATTTGCAAGTGAGGCGACCAAAAAAATGCGCCAATGGATTCTTTCTTCAACATCAAGACAACGTTCTGCCCCACGCGTCTCTTGTGGTTTGTAAGTTTTTGGTCGTAAAACGTGGTCCACATTTGCTATACTTGCCAGATTTAGCACCATGCTACTTGTGTCTCATCCAAAAAATTAAAAGCGAGCCAAGAGGGAAACATTTCGACGTTACCTCCATTGAGATAGCCACGACGCAGCAACTGAAAGCCCTTGCGAAAGAACTCTTCTAGAAATGCTTCCAGTCAAGGCTTCAATGTAGGAACAAGTGCATCGCTAGCCAAGGGGAATTATTTCAAGTTCTACTTAAATTTACTACTTCGTAATAAAATTATTCATCTTATTGTTTGAACCTATCTACCTTATTGTCTGCCGGTCATTCGGCCTGTCTACGTTGCATGCCTTTCCCTCTGCCTGCCTACTTGTCTGCTTTGCCTCCTGCCTGTCTGCCTGCCTGGTCGCCTTTTTGCTTGCCAGCTTGGCTGCCTGTCCGACGGGTCAGTACCCCACCCCCATTCGCTCACCCATCCACCCGATTGTTTGCCCACCTGTATACCTGACTGTTTGTCTCTTTTTTTACTTTACTCTCTCCATCCTGCCTGCCTGCATTACTTCCAAACCGATTACCTTTCTGCTTGCCTGCCTTCCTGTTTGCCTACATGCTTTTCTTCCTTCCTGCCTAGTCTGTCTTGCCTGTCTGCCTGTCTGTCTCTCCCCAGCTTGTCCGTCTGTTTGCCTCTGCCAGCCTACCTCATCCCCTGCGTACCTGCTCTCCTACCTGCATGCCTGCCTGCCTGCCTTCCTTGTCTGCCTGCCTGCCTGCCTGCCTCACCCTCTGCCTAACTTCTCTCCTCCCTTCCTGCCTGACTGTCTATCTACCTGCCTTATCTGCCTGCCTGCCTTCCCCTAGTCTGCCCGCCAATCTTTTTGCCTGCCTGCCTCACCCTCTGCCTACCCGCCCTCCGCTTTTCCTGCCTGCCTGCCTGGCTACCTGATCTCCGCTCTGTCTGCCTGTCTGCCTGTCTGCCTGCCTGCCTGCCTGCCTGCCTGCCTGCCTGCCTGCCTGCTGTCCTGCCTGTCTGGCTTGTCTGCCTGTTCTGCTTCTGCCTGCTGCTGCCTGCTGTGTGCCTGCCTGCTCCGTGCTCTGCCTGCCTGCTGTCTGCGCTGTCCTGTGTCTGCCTGCTGCCTGCCGTGTCTGCTGCCTGTCTGCGCTGTCTGCCTGTCTGCCTGCCTGTTGCCTGCCTGCGCCTGCTGCTGCCTGCTGCTGCCTTGCCTGCCTGTTCTGCTGCTGTCTCTGTCTGCCTGCCTGTCGCCTGCGCTGCTGCCTGCTGCCTGTCTGCCTGTCTGCCTGTTCGCCTTGTCTGCCTGTGCCTGTCTGCCTGCCTGCCCTGCTGCCTGCCTGCCTGCCCTGCCTCCTGCTGCCTGCTGCCTTGCCCGCCCGTCCTTCGGCCGCGGCTGGCCGCCGCGGCGGTCGTTCGTCTTGTGTTATTGACTGCGGCGTATCGCGGTGCGGGATCTGGTCGTTTCGGTCGGCGCGGCCGGTCTCCAGAGGCCGCCCACGCGCATCGCCCGTCCGCGCGCCAGCCCGGCCCCGCCCGGGCCCGCCCCCGCCGTATTTTATTAAAGCGACCTCCCTCCACCCCCGCTTCGCCGGCCCCGCTCGCTACGCGAGGCCGCTCCGGCGAGGCGTCCCCTTTGACCGGGAAAGGAACTCAGTTATGGTAGAGAGCAAAATGGGGGAAAATTTACGTTTGCGACATGTTTGCTATGTTCACCGTAAGATAGCACTTCCTTGGAAAAAGGCAGAGAGATATCTAGAATTAGAGCGTTATTCAATTCGATAAAAGGTGATCGTTCATGGAAGAGAGTGCTGTAAGATTATTAATGCCAACATATGATGACCGGAAAGAACGTGGTACGAAAATTCAGGAAAGAAAACTGAGAGCTCATGTGGGTAAATTTTCATTTCTAAACAGAATAAAACAAAATTGGTACTAATTACCTGCAGTGGTGCTCTTGACTTCTCCTCAAGATGTCAAAAACGTTAACAGTAGATTAAATAATTTGTAATTTTAATATATTCACATTAAATTATTATTATTATTATTATTATTATTATTATTATTATTATTATTATTAGGTATTGTGTTTTTATATTAGTATATCAGCGTTGGCAGGAAAGTAGAATTGTAATTATTATTTTTTCTTTGTTTTATTATCAAGACAATGAGTAAAAATACGTCGATATGATAAAAACGATATTACCATTCAAACGCAAAGTATCAAATAGGTTGGTACGGTTCGTACCATCTCATACCACTTGACCATCGTGCTCCACAATCCTCGAAATTGCCAGATAGGATACTGCTCCGGCATTTGCCTGGTATTGTTCTCAGAAAGCACGGAGAACTACCGATCAGAGCAGCCGGCCGCTAGAGTTCTCCTCCAGACAGTGACAGAACTCGACCCAGCTATCTAGCTAGCGTTGAAAATCCTGCCACTCTCAGGACTCGAACCTCCGGGTCAAAGGCACCTGAGCCACTTGTTCCGGTGTGTGTTGATCAGAGAAATCAAAAAAAAAATTACCAACCAGAACAGACGGCTAGACTAGGCGACAGGAGGCAGCGCCTGCATTCGATCAACAGTATCCGCCCCCGTGGCACCCGAATCCAGCACTTCCCGGCGCGAGCCGCTGCGCTGGCTGGCCTGCGTGTGCCGCTGCGCTGGCTGACCTGTGTGTGCCGCTGCGCCGGCTGGCCTGTGTGTGCCGCTGCGCTGGCTGGCCTGCGTGTGCCGCTACGCAGGCTGGCCTGCGTGTGCCGCTACGCAGGCTGGCCTGCGTGTGCCGCTGCGCAGGCTGGCCTGCGTGTGCCGCTGCGCAGGCTGGCCTGCGTGTGCCGCTGCGCAGGCTGGCCTGTGTGTGCCGCTGCGCAGGCTGGCCTGTGTGTGCCCCTGTGTGTGCCGCTGCGCGCCCGGCGTGGGACGCGGCGCAGGGCCCGGCAGCGCGCGTTCGGGCTTACCTGCGCCGGTCGATGGCCGGGCGCGGGGCAATGCCTGCCGCGGGTGTGGCGGGGGGGGGGCGGGGCGTGGCGGGTGGACGCCCGGGCGATCCGTCTCGCGGGCGTGAGAAATCGAAGCGAGGAAACGCCACGCGCGCGCGCGCACAGTCCCTGCGGCGCGCCAGCCAGCCCGCCCGCCCATTCGGTTTTTTTGAGATAAATTGTTGATCATTTTAGAAGCGCCGCTTAAAATATTGTGCCGCGGGGAGCGCCATATTTCACGCGGGGGCGGGGCGGAGGCGAGGGCGGCGACGCTGCGATGCCGAACGAACCTTCCACTGTGCCGCCTTATTGCGGGAGTCCGTTACGCTAGCATGACAAAACGGCGGGTGCTCGTGATTGAGGAGACGAGGGAGGGAGGGACTATTTCGTGTCGATACCGCTAGTGGGAGATACCTAGTTGGGGGAAAACCTCGTTAGTGGAGGCCGGTCGGCGCCGGATCACGATGTCGAGGTAAGATCACCGCCGTCTTCCGATGAAGAAACATGCACTACACTTACGGGACTGGTGACCCTAGTATTTGACGCTTCCGGTATCACTAACAGTCAATCAATCATATGGATAGGTATTTGTTTTTGTGTTTAGGTATTAATGTCCCGCAAAGGGTAACTGGCTTCCGCGCTGTTAGATCCTGGGATTCCTAGTCGGTCACTCAACCAAGAACCCGCGATATCTCGAATTCGGTTTACCTCCGTGACTTCACGTAGTTAACGAATTCGGCTAACTTCGCGGACTTTGCATTTCATAAGAACCACCCCAGCATTCACGTGGGTGACCGAGGGAAGCCACGAAAATCTCGGTCAAGATGGCCAACACTGCTCATAAATTTGGAAATTATTGGATCGTATTTGAATGTTGCCCTGATCGTTGATAATTTACCAAACTGTGATTACGATAACCCAATTGCATGCAGTAGTGCAGTTCATTTCTGTATAATTCTAGTTCACTTCATCAATTCACTTTGAATGCAACAACATATAAATTCCCTATGTGAAATGAAAACAATAGGCGGGAAGAATGCATGCAATATATAACAATACATTTACCACAGAGCCCAAGACACAGTAAGTAACTTAATTATGTAAATATTCACATTTATAACTATTAGAAAATTCATATCTTTGAAATAAACTACACGTGAAGTAAAAGGGCGACTTCTAAAACTTTTAAGCACTAGTAACTTCACAAATAAAATCTTCGTGATCGAAGCTTCGCAAATCAAGATTGTTCTGTGGCTTTTTGTTTTCACCGCACTGCGCAAACTGTTGGATAGACGCCAGTGAAGAATGGATTTTTCATGGGCCGAGTATTATGGGGCCCAATCATGAACATCTCTTGTTCATGTTTGTTGATGTATTTTTTGCATTGAATGTTTGAGTCATGGCTACCGTTAAGATGTTAATGAAGTAACTGTAATCTTGTTACTGTTTATATAATTTTCATTATTTATTAATGCATATTATTGCTTTTATTTTAGGTAGGGAAACAAAAAGCAAATATCCATTACGTATAATAGATATGAAATGAAATGACACGATAAGATTACAATAAATTGCATTTGATGGATTTATAAGCTCTCACATTCAATTAATTTTGAAAGGATCGCAGTTCAACACTGCTTATAGCGTATTTATTTTATATTTCAGACACATCAACACGAGGTTCGGGTTTATGAGCAACATTTGTCGGCCCCTTCATTCAGCAAAAGTGTTATGAATGAGTTATTTTGGGGGCTGTCTTGTCACGGGAACTTCTCTCTGTTGAAGTTGCTCTTCATTATATCAATTGGCTTCGCTCATCATACTCTGTATTAACATTTTTACCATGGGGTGACCGTACTAGTATTCACCTATGATGGTATATTTTAGTGCACTTGAAATTCTGACGTCGCTTCTAAATATTTAACTCATGCTAAGAAAAAGTTCGGCAAACTTTGCAAATAAGTGAATCTTTGATTAGATACAACTAAAACGTAGGGGAATAATTTAACGAACTAATCATAATTGTTATTTACCCCATTAGAACGATTCAATGAACAAATAACGGACGCGATTCTACGGCCATTTGTGACCGCAACCGCATAGAAATCGAATTACTGTGAGGCATGAAAACTTAAAAAACTGAAAAATTTACAACCGAAGTAAAACTGTACATTAATGGCAATTGGCTAAAATTACACTAATGACTAAAATTAGAAGTCCATTTTAACACTTTTCAGTGTTGCAAAACATTATTTGCACCAGGCGTTCCAAATGAACGCAAACAGAGTGTAAGAGTCAAACAGTAACTGCTTGTAAACTCCAACAAAATTCGCATGGGCCACTTGTTAGTGAAGCGGCACTTCACTTGCTTCAGCTGACGAGCTGCCATTGACTCCCAAGGGCTACCTGCGTTGCCTATCCGGGAGATTGATTGATTAATTTATTGATTGATTGATTACGGGCGTGTCAACTGATAAGGTAGTGCTCAACTGATAATCCCTTGTAGCAATCAACTGATAATCCCTTACGTGTAGTGCATGGTTTGGCGTTATGTGTAAATTTCGGTTGTTTGGTTGCGTTACGTGAATAATACGCAAACAATGTTTTGGGCGTGGGCGGCGCGTAGGGCGTGCATGCGTGCGTGTGTGGGCGTGGCGTGGGCGAGGTCGGGGCGACGGCGTCGGATGTGGCCCACTGACACGCACGGCGGCGCCATGCCACGCCGCGCCGCGACGCTCTCTCGCTCGCTCCTCGGCGCGTTCATTAACCGGCGGGGCGGGCGCGGGGGGCCGGGCGGGGGGGCGGCAACGTAAAACACCCCCGCGCACCGCCCCCCGCGCGCGCGGCGCGGCGCGGCGCCGCCGCCCCACCCTCACCCTCCGCGCGGCGGCGGCGGCGGCGAAAAGAAAAAGTTCGTTAACGCCGAGAATGAGCCGCCTCACCCTCCTTCCCTCTTGCGCCGTCTCCTTTGCGGCGCGCGCTCACTCACTCGCTCTCTCGTCGCGGCGCCGGCTTCCTCTTCGCCCGGCGACCCACGCCGCGCTCCTCTTCCGTCTCCCTCTCGCTCGCTCTCTGTCTGTCCTGCGCGCGCCTTCTTCTTCCTCCCAGGTCTCCTTACAACTTTCTACGAGCGCGTCGCCCGCCCTCGCCGCCACCGCCGCCCTCGCCCCTCATTTGCACTCATTCATTCAGCCTCGCGTCTTCCGCCTTCGCCGCCCCCGCCCCGCCCCCTCGCGCGGCCTGCCCGGGGCGGCGCGCAGCCGCGCCGTCGCGTTGGAATTTAGCCCGAGCGTCGCGTCCGCTCCGCCCTACCCACCCGGCGGAGGAGGCGGGGGCGGAGACGGAGGCGGAGGCGGCTCCCTTCACAACTCGTTAATGTGGGTCAGTCGCGGTTCCTCCACCCTCGCGTGGCCTCGACTGTTTATTACGCCGCGGTCTCCCTCGGCTGGAGCTCCGCGGGAGGCTGCACGGCGCACCTCTAGCCACGTGGCTTCGACTACTAATACTGTAAACATCAACATCAATATCATCAACGTCAATATTATGATTATCATTATTATTATTATTATTATTATTAATTTTCAACCATTCGAAATGGTACGTAATTTTTTCGTTCACAACATGCTTAAATTTTTTATCTACATATGTTGTAAAATGAATGACAGACCGAAATAAATTCAGGGA